GAAGCGCGCGCTCGTTGTAAACTGCGACGGCCGTAACTCACGCTGGATTGTGGAGCGCGCATCTGCGGTTTTTCACCTGTCCCGGAGCACCCAGCAATTCAGAGGGCGTGATTCTGGGAGAGTAGCCGTTTGTTTTGTCGGCAGGGGGCGCCGCGCTCCCTGCAGCCTTGCATCTTTTGGAGCCAGGAGTAAGGACGTATAGCATCTGACACCTTGGAACGGAGGACTCCTCCGTTCCGCACCGCTTCCAGTGCAGCTCCTCAAGAGCTGTACTGGAATTGGTACTGAAACGGCAGAGCTCCATGATGTTCCAACCTACCTCAGCCTCTTGCTCACCCAGAGAGTACCGGAACTGGAGGGTGTTCGCGCGTCGGGACTCGGGGGCCTCGAGACGGGGGTCAATGCAAACGGGGGTCAGCCAGGGCACCGGATCCTGCAGGATCCTGCGGAGGCCCCCTCTGGCTGACCCGGGTTAGGGAGCCGCTCGTGGCCGCGAGGCGGCCGCGCCTATTGGCTGACCTGGGTTTGCGAAGACCTGCGTTGCAGTTTTTTTTCCCTGCATTGCAGTGTTTGCTTTCCTGCTGACCCCGGTCTGGATTGACCCGGGTCAGAAGATCCCCGAGGGACCTGGGCGATATTCGTTCGGCACTTCGCAAGCGTGTCGGGCAGACACTGTTTCGATACTTTTCTGGGTGCTCGAAATTAAGTCTGGGAGGCGGTCCTGAAGTAGGATGGTAACAACATGAGCAGAGCTGAGGACTGGTTGAAAGATGCAGGAACCTGAGCCTCGCAGCGTGATGGCCCCAACAAGGGGGAGCGGTGAGTATGTGTTTGAGCCCGCTTGGTTGATCCTCTCGTGACAACGGCCGTTACCGGGGTGGTGGTGCGGGGCCAGTGCAGTGCCGTTTTTAATACATGCTCCGCGTGCGGATCATGTATTACACATGCAGGGAGTTAGTATGGGAAACAATGATGAGTTCATGCATAAATTCATCCGTAAATTCATCATGGATTGAAAGTCCTATTCAAAAAATATATATTAAAAGCTGCCCAGTAGCGTCACGGTTCGCGCCGGCGCCGTCTGGGGCCGGCGTGATGGCGCCCTCAGGGTGCCGCATAGGGGGGGCGGCGTCCCCAGCGGCGGGGCCGTCGCGCACCTTCCAGAAAACAATGGCGCTCTTGGCATCCGCCGCGCGGCGTGGTGCATGTCGCTCGATGTGTGTGTGTGTGTGTGTTGTGTGTGTTGTATGTGTGTGTACTGTGTGTGGTGCGTGTATTGTGTGTGTGTGGTGTGTGGTGTGTGTGTGTGTGAGAGTGTGAGTGTGTGTGTGTGTGTCGTGTGTGTGTGTGTGTGTGTGTGTGTGTCGTGTGTGTTTGTGTGTGTGTGTGTTTTTGTTCGTGCGTCTCCCCACTTAGTGCTCCGCGCGCCCCGCCTAGCTCTTGACCGGAAGAGGCCCGCTCTCGACCCGCCGACCAAGAAAAGTGGGTTTTTGTTCGCGCACCTCCAGCCCCTGCCGCATTCGCCGTGGCCTGCCCTCCCCCCCGATATCCACGCTGCTCCCTCCCTCCCTCGCCTTCGCCCTCCGCGTTTCTGCCCTCCCGCTCGACTCCCTTCGGGGGTGCGACCTCTGTGTGGGTTGGCTCATGCGGGGGAGGGGAGCCCAGGCCCCCCCCAAAAGCGCCCCTTCTTCGCCGATTTGCGCTCGGGTTCCCCAGCACCCCGCCCAGTCTGCGAGCGCGCTCCCCGCGGCCACGCGCAGAGGGGGCGTTGCCCCCCCCCCCCCCCACGACGGGAGGCTCTTCGCTATTTTTTCGGCCTCGGGGGGCCCTTGCCGGGCCTCGGGACCGCCACGAAACGACTCGGGATGAAAGACTGGTCCCGCTGGGGGGATGAACGACCGGGATGAAGGGAGTGGGGGGGGTCAGCTCCCACGCGTGCACGCTTGACTGCCCGCTCATGTGAGCAGCACCGTGCGCAGCGTTCGGCCGAAAGGCAAGAGGCAGTCCCTGCACTGCAGCGGCGAGCACATAAATGTATGACGTGTTCAATGCGTGGGGATACCCATCAGTTTCACAGAACACTCTGTGAAGTTCTGTTCGTTGCTCCGATGCCGTCGTGAAAAAGACAGGTCCTGGGGAAGGGGTCAGGAACCTCTGGGGGTCGACGCTTTGGAGCAGATCACGACGTCGGGGGTCTGGGCAGGCAGAGGGGGCCAGGTTTTTTTGAAGCGCTCCAAACGGGGCCCTCAAACTCTTCACCCCCAGGTAGGTCACCCCCCATTACCACTCACCCGAGAGGGGGGTGATGACTTCGGGCGTGTGGATCTCATGGCTGGGGACATGCTACCTCCCAGATGTCATGGCGCCCTCTTATTTGTTCTCCTCGTCTTCTTTTTCTTCTTATCATTTTCTTCGCGTTTTCTTATAATGCGTCCCCTGGCCCCCCCTCGTCCGGCCATGCTTCTCGACGCCCCCTCGTGGACGCCCCCCTCGTGGACGCCCCCGACAAGGGGGTCTTCTCCGGCTGGGGGGGGGGCTGGGCCCATGATGGGGCCCAAGTCGCTCCCGACCGTTCTGCATCGCTCTCTGGGCGTTCCAGAGCGCTATGGCTCGGCGGCGGAATCCGCAACCTACCCTCGCCGATCCGCGGTTCAGGCAACTCGATGGGCGGCGGGAGTGGGGTTCGGCATTCGCCGAGCACGTGGCGAAATCCGAACCCTACTCCAGATTTCGTAATAAAAGGGAGGGGGTCTGGACCCTCCAAGACAAGCCATCTCAGACCTCCCCCGTGGGAGAACCCTCCAAAACATCGTCCCCAGACCCCCCAGGCCCTCCAAGATAGCCTGGAAGAGACCCCCCCCCGAAATGAGACCCCCCTTCCCTCTATAACGAAATCTGGAGCACCTCCGTCTCCCAGCGCGTCAGGAGAGCCGATGGTTGGCGGGGGCAGGGTTCGCACGTCGCCGCCTTGGCGGCAGGGCCGCGGCGACCGAGACGGTCGAGGCGCCGGAATCAGGACTGCTGTTGGCTCAGGAGCGGCGTTGATCTTCGACTACAGTCGGGGCCTGTCGAGGCCGCCGCAGCCCGTCGAGGCAGCCACCCCGCTGTCGATGTTTTGTTGACCTGTTCCTGCCCACTCGGTCGTACAGTCGGGGCCCTGAAGAAGGAACCCTTCTCGTTGGGGAGGGGCTCCGCGTTCCTGAAGTGTTTCGCAGCTCGCCTCGGGTTTTCCTTATGTTTTCGATCGGAAATCGAAGGTTAACTCATGGAAAAAAGGGGCCTCGTTCCTTATTTATCGTTCCTTAGGTCAACGCTCCGACTGCAGGAGCGGCTTTGATCTTCGTCCAGGTCGGGGGACCTCTTCTTGGCCGAGGCTCGCGTCGCCAGATCAGACCCCTCGTTCCTGATTGTTATAGCGCGGTGAGTGTACATCCTCTGGACCGTCTGGTTCTCAGAGATGACCGATTGCGAAGGCCTTGCGGCCGGTGCCGCCGACCTTGAAGGGGGACGTCGACGACGGCGGCGGTGGCGGCGGCAACGACGACGACGACGATGACGTGGGCCCGAGTCCTCAGGGATGATTCTTGGGGTCTCTTGGGAAGGCTCTCGGGGGCCTCTGGGGGGGAAATTTCGGGGTCCCTTGGGAGCCTCTCGGGAGCCTCTTTGTGGCCTTTTCGGGTGTCCTGAGGGCTGTGGGCCTCTAGGGGCCTCTTGGGGGCCTCTTTGGGGCCTTTTCGGGTGTCCTGAGGGCCTATTGTGAGCTTTTTGGGGCCTCTTGGGGACCTCTTGGGGCTTCCTGGGAGCTTCTCGGGGCCGAGGGCTCGAAATGTCCGTTCGGGTTCCCCGTCAAGGCGCGCTCTTGGAGCCGACTTGGGGGCCTTCGGGCCGTCTTTTGAGGCGTTTGGGGCTGTCTTGGGGTGCTCTTGGGATATTTTGGAGCGCTCTTGGAAGCCTCTTGGGCCGTCTGGGGCCGATCTTGAGGGCCTCTTCGGCCGTCGTGGAGCGGCGGAGAGCGGAAAAGGCGAGAACGCCCAACGCCGTCAAGAACCTGGAGCACATCAATGCTGTGTGCCTCTTGGGGCCCTCTCGGGAATGCCTTTGGAGGTCTTTTGGGGCGTCTTGGAGGTCTCCTGGGCAATCATCTGGCAGTGGGGGGCCCTCTTGGACCGTCTCAGGGGCCTCGTGGGACACTCTTGGCTTGTGTTGCTACTTTTTGCAGCCTCGGACCGTCCAAGCGGGGGATGGGTATCTGACCCCCCGCCCCTCTTGGACCCCCTCCGATTCGATTACGGCATTGCGAGTTTTTTTTGTTTTTTTGTTTGTGTTTTCTCTCTCTCTCTCTCTTTCTCTCCCTCTCTCTCTCTCTCTCTCAGAGATCCACGATTTACCAGGGCCTCCCAAAGGGGGACCGCATGATGTATCATAATGTCGACTCTCCCGCTCGGGAAACAGCTGCAACCGTTGGGGTCGACACCTCTCATACTACTCTTTGGTTCCTCCGGCCGGAATTTTCTCAAAGTCCTGCTTCGCTGTGTCCTGGTTTCTAGGGGTCTCTGCAGTGATCTGAAGGGGAAAGTGATAGCCACAGTCAACCACCGATCCCCCGGAAAATATGGGGAAGTGGAGGGGAAGACGGAAACACAGAAGATATGGACAAATATCGGGAATCTTCAGATTTTTGCGTGTATATGTATATATACACATTATCTATATATTATCTATGTGAATATATATATATATATATATATGTATATATATATATATATGTGTGTGTGTGTATGCGTGTGTGTGTGTGTGTGCGTGTGTGTCCCAGGGCCCCTTCAAGTTATTATCTATGTGAATATATATATATATATATATATGTATATATATATATATATGTGTGTGTGTGTATGCGTGTGTGTGTGTGTGTGCGTGTGTGTCCCAGGGCCCCTTCAAGTTATCCAGATCCGCAGTTGTCCCGATCCCGGCTTCGCCTCGGGGGAGGGGGCCGCCCGCAGGTCGGGCACGATGTCGCCGACGTCCGCCATGGGCGCCTCCGCGTGGGGCGCCATGGGGCCCTCTAGCTCCGAGCTGACGAGGATCGCCTGGCCGCGCTCCGAGGAGGAATGAGATACCAATGTCGGGCCGGGCGAAAGGGGGGGATTGGGAAGGGGGGGGGGGGGG